CGCTCATCACTGGTCTCCCGACCATAACTCTTATCCACCAGCACTGTAACCCTGTCATAGAAGGCTACCAAATTTGTTAGGCATAATTTGACCTTGGTGAAGCCATGTTGGCTGTCACCAATCACCTCCTCTTTCTCCATGTGCCTCAGCATGGTTTCCAGGAGGATCTGCTCCATGATCTTGCCAGGCACAGTGGAGAGACTGACTTTATCTTGATACTGAAGTCCTTCAATGACATGTGAAAACATAATGGTATTTGCAACAACCAAAATTTTGCTCCATAACTTTTCTTAAATCACCATGAAAATACTTTCTGTTCTGAGGCATGCATGCTCCTTCTCTGGCTTAAATCAAAACAACTACTTCTAAAATACTAGTAAAGAGCTGAATGCAGAAAATCATGTAAGAAAAAGGATATATTTTGTGGACAGAGCTTCAAGGCGTGAGGTGACTGAGTCTTGAAGGGCAGCTATGGCTTCACACTTACAGGACTCTTCAGTTGTTATGAGACTGCTTGTTATGGTTCCTAAGAGAGAAGACAGCATTTCAAGTATTCATGACAATTATCAAACATTTAAATCCCAGGAAAATGCTTGATTCTGCAAGGGGAGTCGAACCATGGTGTGAGACTACAGCAAGCACTGCGACCCCAGGCAGTCAGGAAGGAGGGATGGCAGTGAAGAGGGGATGGTGTGCAGCCACAGATATGAGTGTCATAGTCCAGAAAGAGGGCAGGCAAGAGAAAGCTTGACTCTAGGTGAGGAGGAGGCAGAGCAGGGAGTTCCTAGCCTGCCTACCTTGATCCTCTGCACTCTTCAAATTAGACCATTATTGAGCAAAATATAAAAAGATGTGCAGGGACCAACCAGCCTCTCCCATCAACTCTAATTGCTAGAGGGAATCTTCCCTTTGCCTGTTATCTCTCCCTCTCATCCAGAATATCCCCCACCCCAAAAGGTGTATGCCCTGGGCAGTAGAATGTGTTTAAGTGCTGCAGACTAAGAAGAACCTGCAGTCCAGGTCTCCATCTCCTAAGTAGTACTTTGGCCATCAGACTATCCACACAGGAACCCCACTGGCATCACTGTAAACAGGATCTACTTAATTAGCTGTATTTAAGGCGATGACTAGCTGGTTGGGCTTCTTTTCAGAAGAATCACAGAATGGTTTGGGTTGGAAGGACCTTAAAAATCATCTAGTCCACCCCTCCTGCCACGGGCAGTGACACCCTCCACTAGATCAGATTGCTGAAGGCCCCATCCAACCTGACCTTGAACACTTCCAGGGGTGGGGCATCCACAGCTTCGCAGGGCAACCTGTTCCAGTGCCTCACCACCTGCATAGAAATGTATTTCTTCCTCATACCTAAATATATCTAAATACAGTCTAAATATAGCTAGCTAGCTCTATAGAATCAAGGTTGCTGCCCTGTCCAACCTGGAATGTAACAGCATTTGGAGTATCTATCGCTTCCAAACAGAGCACTTCTAAGAATGCATTGAAGTCCTAAGTTAAGCCTTCGGGGGGGCAGTTTGGGGGGGTGTGGTGGTGCAAGCCAAGCAGGAAGGCATTTTATGATTTTATGCACATAAAGACTCCATCAGTGTCAGAAACTGGTTGGTTTGGATCAGTATCTGAGATGGGGTTGGAATTTAGATACCTCAGTCTCACCTTGGGGACGAATTAAAATAATTTATCACTTATACAGAAGTATCTTGTATTATTGTAAGTAATAAAAAAAAAATGAAAGCAGGAACACGTGTTAATTTTAAAGAGTAAGGAGCAGAGGTTAAACAAAATCATCAATGCGTATCTCCCCACAAGTGCTCTTGTTTCTAACACTGGCAATACACATGCACAGGGGGAGCACCACTTTTGATCCATCAAGATGTGTGAACACAACTCCATCCCCATGTCACATGAACATGTATGGAGGGAACAACAATGTTCAAATGGGTCAGTTGAATTTAACATGTAGTAGAAAGGCACAGCAACATCAGTGGTGGAGCCACTCAGCAATCAGTCTCTTCGGAAAGAGAAAACAAGCATTGCCGTACTCCGCAGTGATTCCACTGAATCTCTTCCTAGGTCTTGCCCCCCGTCTTCCAGACTTACTGGGGACCAGCCTCAGCTGTCCTCAAAAATTCCTTTTTCTCCGTAATCCACCACAAAACCAGGGATGATCACAAAGGGGTCAGAGAGATGATCATTTCATTGTGGTGTAATTACAGGTCAGGCATCAGCTGGTGGCTGTGAGTTCTCAGCTACACAAAAGGCCATTTAACCTCACCTACTCCATGCGGAAAATCGGAGTTAAGGCAAGCTGCACCACTTGCTGCAGGCTAAGAGCAAACGTATCAGCAGCTACTGAAGCACAGCTACTGCAGTGAGATTACCGTCTACATCTGAGACCAGGAGAGTAAGCTTCCAAAGGCACAGCCTCCTTAAAAGAGGGTCTACAATCATTAAATACCCTTTCAACAAGTTATCAGGAAGGAATACTTGTATGTAATACCTGTCTCTATACATGTTTTTACGTTGCTTGCAATGACAGCGAATTATTCAATTATTTTTTCTGTAGCTATATGAATGCGCATCTGATCAACACCAAACAAATCATGTGAGCATTTTAACAGCTAAGCAGTAGAAATATTACACCTGGACACAATTTAACTGGTTTTCTGAATTGTTTTGGTTTCTCTTTTTGCTTCTCAATCATGCCATTGATATTTCCATTTTGCAAGGAAACTGATGGCTGCTTGAATTACAGAAAAATGACTGAAATATATCAATTTCAAAAGGTTGTTCATTCAGTGTTTCACTGAAAAAAAGTTTATGAACAGATTCATTTCTAGCAGGGCAGAAATTCATTTGTCTTAGAGCCAGTGCTGAAACTGGTGTCTCCTTGATTCCACCAAACCTGTATTTGTCCAGCTCCCTTTTTTTGGAACGTTCCATTGGCTTTATGGTTGATGTACAAAGCAGAGCTGTTCAAGATTTAGCTGGAGGAAGGCCAGTTCAAAATATCACACCAACACGGTTGGTTTCCAACCACTGCCAGTTAATTTTTCATGTCTGCATTTAGTTCTCCAGTGACAGACAGAGATCCTCCTTGGGTTATGTCTGTTTTAACGACATTACTTTTCCAACCAACTTTGGCAACTGCCCAGGGGTCCCCTGAAGTTTTCTACAGTCGTACTGTGAAATGTAGAGTCTTCCAATATTTGATATTCAAAATCTTGGGCACTCCCGTTGCCACTGGGATGCCCAACAAGTCATATAAATCATGCTAGAGTTCTGTTTTACACTGCATTTATGTTTAAGTCCAGACCTACAAAAACTACTATTTTTGCAGATGGTGTTTGGCTCTATGTACCTATTTTATAACTTTGCACTTACATGGGGTCCTTATCCACTTGATGGAATGGCAAGTTATTCCTGCTATGACCCGGGCATAGGACTAGATACTTCTTGAGGTCCTTTCCAGCCCAACTTTACTTATGAGTCTACATCAAACGGTGCAGAGGTTCTGCCAACAGTTCATGCCATAACTGCCCATGTAAAGGGAAGGAAGTCAGTGAGTTCATGCCTGCCCCACTCATCTTGGAGGAGTGGACAAGAACATATGGTTTAGCACTGCAGTAGTTCTGACACCAGTGCTGTTCCCTGCTGGCCCCCCACCAGCCTCCAAATGCTAGTACACAGAGTCCCATGCCCCAGAACCCTCCCTTGCCAATCCCCCCCGTTATTTTCATTTCATAAGGAAATTATAAACATATAATAAGGACTATTATAAAGATTATCCAGTGCTTGGTGAAGCACTGGAACTGGTTGCCCAGAGAAGCTGTGGATGCCCCATCCCTGGATGTCTTCAAGGCCAGGCTGGATGAGGCTTGGAGCAACCTGGTCTAGTGGAAGGTGTCCCTGCTCATGGCAGGGGGGTTGGAACTAGATGATCTTTAAGGTCCCTTCCAACCCAAACCATTCTATGATTCTATAATATAGTGCTTGTGCATGCTGGGCATCAATCCTACACGAATCTTACCATAACTACTGAGATGTGTAACTGATCTGGCCTTGAAACAGCAAGATGAACTAACTGCTTTACTGGGGTCTCCCTCAGTCCTTTGCACAGTCTGTGCTCACTGACCGCAGCTGACTAACCTCACCAGATGTGAAGTGCTGGATCATCGCCAAAGGCATGCAAGGAAAAGTTTCCAGTACACAATAACTTTACAGTAAGGAGACCAGGAAGGAAAGAAACACTTCTAAGACGATTACATTCTTACTGTAACACAAAGTCACTGAGAAGCTAAAGAATCACAGAATCACAGAATGGTTTGGGTTGGAAGGGACCTCAAAGACCATCAAGTTCCAACCCCCCTGCCATGGGCAGGGACACCTTCCACTAGATCAGGTTGCTCAAAGCCTCATCCAGCCTGGCCTTGAACACTTCCAGGGATGGGGCATCCACAGCTTCTCTGGGCAACCTGTTCCAGTGCTTCACCACCCTCTCTGTGAAGAACTTCTTCCTGGTATAATCCAAACCTCCCCACTTCCAATTTAAACAGTGAGATGAAATTCAGCCTGGAGGGGAGGACATCACCTCAGACTGTCTCCTGCAGGGTGGCACACAGTTCCCACAGGACTGCAAAGTGTGAGACTGTGACTGACCCCAACTCTTCTCCAATTATTCCTCTGTTTTGAGTTTGCTGACTGTCGCATAATTTTTTTTTTTTAAATACAGTGAAAGCCTTAGTTAAAAGTTGATAAAGGAAGACCAAACGGTAAGCAGTTACTAGCACTGTTGCATATGAAGTGCTTTATGCCTCTGACTGTTGATCGAAGTTGAAAAATCACAGTGACACAGAACTGTCTGACCATACTCGAATGCATGTGAAAGTTTCTCAAACAGATGCAAATATACTAACCTGCTGATGAGAGCTATCTCAGTACATGTACTTAGCTGGGGAGGGTACGGGGGGGATAGAGAACAGCACACTGCTCTTACTTGAGCAAGTCTTCTTGTCTGCATTCAGGGTGTAGCCTTGGTAGCAGTCACAGGTATAGAAGAGATCATCTCTCACACAGACCTGCTCACAGTCGTGCCTTCCAGGTGCACACACATCAGCAGCTGAGGAAGGCATTTGAGAAGACGCTTAATCAAAACCCAAATTTCAGCCTGCTTGGTGTTAGCAGTTCCCTTTCGCAAACAGATCTTCATCTGGATTCAAACCAGAATGTTTTTGTTGCACGTCATCATGCTGTTAGCCACAGTAGGGTATACAGAATGTCTTTTTATCTGGCTATCAACATCACAAAATTAACACAATTCTTGAAATACTTGCAACACTTAGTTGTAACAGACTGCAAAAGGAACTGAACTAGCAGTGACCCAGTTACAGAATAATTATCCAAAGGAATTTCAGAGAACAAATATCTGGATTTTGAAAGACTATTTGGCATTATTTCAGCTCTAATTGAGTTGGATAAGACACTTTTATGGAGTGAAAAGAACATAAACAGAAGAGTATACATGGCTGCTAAAAAAAAAAACAGAGACGTGGCACCCACTCCCAGTTACAAAGTGGGTACTTCATGTGTGAGGCTGATGTTTTCTGCCAAATATAACACATCAACTCTGAAAGGGCAAGCTGAGGAGGAGTTCCTATATTTGGATATCTTTGCAGTAAGGAGGCGTCCAGTAAGGTACAAGGAAAGACAGAAGAAAGAAAGAGAGAGCGAGCAAGGCAGGAAAGAAAGGCAGGCAGGCAGGAAGGAAAGGGAGAAGAAAGAAAGGGAGAAGAAAAAAAGGGAGAAGAAAGAAAGGGAGAAGAAAGAAAGGGAGAAAAAAGAAAGGGAGAAAAAAGAAAGGCAGAAAGACCCACCTCCTTGACCTGGACTATTTTTATTTTATCACAAAGACCTGGGTGGTTGAGAAATCATGAGCATACTGCAAAATGAGATTCAAAAGGACAAAAAAGCAAGCATATTAGGGAAATAATCTGAAATTTGACTATGCAGGAGGGAGAATTGATGCTATGAAAGGAGGTTCAGGATTGGACCCTTGAGGGAGATGCTGAACTAAATTCACATTCCCTCACACGTATGTTGCCTCTATATAAAATGCCAGGTGACAGTTAATCTGGGTCACTATATATACAAAATCAGCTCCTAAACTAGTCAGGAAGAAATATTGAGGCCCTCTAGCTTCACCTCTTTGAGATGCAAGACCTATAATTTAATTTGGGGAGATTTGTCTAGGAACCTCCTGAAATTGGAAGCCTAGCCTTAGCATTTTGTCACACAAAACTTAGAAAGGAAAGGGATTATGATCAAAGAGGAAAACAGGATTTGGTGTAACTAAATCATCGGTGAGACATCCAAACAAATGAAGAGTGAAGTTCAAACCCAAATCAAGTGAAAATCATATAGAATACATATTAATTTGTAGGTACTACATACTTTTATGTACATGCTTAAGTACCAGCTACATCTCTGCTTCTATTCTCCACAAGAGCCCAGCACTGGGAAAGAACACTTCTCCACCCTGTACAGCTCTAAGGCTGGAATACTCTTTGAGGTCCAAACACATCCACCAGAAAGAGTGATCACACTCATGATGATACAGACTGTAATCTCTCTCTCCCAGCACAGTCCTTGCCGCCTTCATCTCATTCCCATTCATCTTCACATCATTAGCAATCTGGTCTAGTGGACGGTGTCCCTGCCCATGGCAAGGGGGTTGGAACTAGATGGTCTTTAAGGTCCCTTCCAACCCAAACCGTTCTGTGATTCTGATTCCTTTCTGCTGAAGAGTTTTCTGACACAGGTAGTACCCATCATATATTCCCACAAATCCATTATCCTTCTCTCAGGCAGATATGATAATTCGTGCTCTATAGGCATGAAAATACTGTGAAGTCCTCAGGGAAATGCCAAATAGCATTTTAATTACACCAATTAGAAGCTTCACACAACTGTAGAAGAGTCATGAGTTTCTAATTATTGCTGGGCATATGAAGAAACAAAGTTGCACAGTGTTTTCAGGGGTTGTACAGAAACCCTTGGGTAATTTATCAGAGAACTAACATACATTAACCTTGTTTTTAATGGATATATGCTTTTAGCTGAACACAACATTTCCTTAATCAGGTCTTACCTGAGCAAGTCTTCTTATCTGGATTCAGAGTGTATCCTTCATAGCAGTCACAGCTGTAGGACCCATCGTTACTCAGACAGACTTGTGCACAGTCATGCCTTCCAGGCGCACACATGTCCATGGCTGTGGTGATCCAGGTTTTAGGAAAGAAACTTGTTAATGCCTCCCAGACACTCAAGTGTTTTAACTGCTTCAACATTTATAAATACAGTTTAATTAGGATACAAACCAGGATTCAACCAGTGCCCTACTACGTTATTATATTATGCTGCAGACGACTGTATTCCATTACTAATTATTTAATAGAAGAGGCAGATATTGGGCCTGCAAGGCATTACTAAACCACATCTCATGCAATTCTGATTTTCATCAGCAATTCTAACAGTCCTGAATATCCCCAGTAAGGATGAAGCTAAAACACCACACTGAGGTGAGCAATAACCTGCCACGTGTCAAGGTGCAGGTTGTTTCTTGCAATAGTAGCAGTAACTACGCCACCTGGAGTGCTGTGTCCAGCTGTGGAACCCACAGCATCAGAAGGATATAGACCAGTTGGAGTGAGACCAGAGGAGGCCACGAAGATGCTCAGAGGGCTGGAGCACCTCTCCTATGATGAAAGGCTGAGAGAATTGGGCTTGTTCAGCCTGGGGAAGAGCAGGCTCCGGGGAGACCTTATTGCAGCCTTCCAGTACCTGAAGGGGCTACAAGGAAGCGGGGGGGGACTTTTTACAAGGGCCTGTAGTGACAGGACAAGGGGTAACGGGTTTAAATTGAAAGTGGGGAGGTTTAGATTAGATATCAGGAAGAAATTCTTCCCTGAGAGGGTGGTGAGGCACTGGAACAGGTTGCCCAGAGAAGCTGTGGATGCCCCATCCCTGGAAGGGTTCAAGGCCAGGCTGGATGAGGCTTTGAGCAACCTGGTCTAGTGGAAGGTGTCCCTGCCCATGGCAGGGGGGGTGGAACTAGATGGGCTTTAAGGTCCCTTCCAACCCAAACCATTCTATGATTCTCTAACAGAAGCAGCAGGCTGTAAAAAAGCCCCGAGTTTCAACAGGAGAGATGGAAAGGACATGGGAAAACCATCAGGTTTTAAGTTCTCTAAGGACTAGTGGCACTCGTGGTCCAGTGGAGACACAGTGCTGGTGGGCACCTCCAAACTAGGTTCATCCTCTCCCAGGGACTAAGTGATGTTTATGAAGTACTGTAAAGACCATAAAATGGTAAGTGCCAAACTGCATTTTTTCAAATCAACACATTTAAATAAAAATGCAATTTTATTGTTAATGGAACCAAGGGGAAAGGCTACAGGTGAATTCTCATTTTAAGAGTTGATGTCTGTAAGCAATTTTTCAACTAGAAATAATACGGGTAACTCGTAGAAAACACGTCCATGTCTTCATGAGTTTCATATATTAAAGTAGCCTTTAATTCTTACCTGAGCAAGTCTTCTTATCTGGATTCAGGGTGTAGCCTTCATAGCAGTCACAGACATAGGATCCGTTGTTACTCACACAGATCTGCTCACACTCGTGCCTTCCAGGTGCACACATGTCTACAGCTGCAAGACACATGTAGGAAAACAATTCATTGTTAATAAAAGTATTTTGGGATGGAGTGCGTATTCACATTTTCAAATATGTTTTGATTTGGAATCATCTCAGAAATGGCAATAGTAATTAAAGCAATTGGAATAAGAAGTAGGAGAAACTATAGTGTCTACATCTCAAGACTTTGCTTGGCATCTGGCCCTGATGAATGGATCTTTAGGCATAATGAAAAGGATGGTGATGGAATCAAACTACTTCTCACCATTACTTGTAGACGACTTCTATTTATTATTTATTGTTATTGCAGAAGGTACAGAGGTTCACTGTTTCAACAGAAGAACAAAAGTAGCTCCTGGTGTTACAAGGTGATTTTTTTTCCTAGTTGAACACATCTACGGAAGGAGCAATACCTGAGCAGGTTCTCTTATCTGGATTCAGAGCGTAGCCTTCGTAGCAACCACAGAGGTAGGATCCACCGTTGCTCACACAGACCTGCTCGCAGTCATGGGTCCCAAGGGCACAGACATTCACAGCTACAAAGGGCATTTACAGAAAAGGCTTTTCAGTCATCCCAAAGGAGAGAAACAGTCATAAATAATTTATGCTTTCACAAGTACATGTTGCACTGTTTGCTGATCAGCAGTAGGAAATGTCAGAGCTGTGCCACTGTCACAAAACATTACAGGCATCCTCTGCATCATTCTGTACCCAGAAAAAGGAGGTGACGCTGGAACAACCACTGAAACAACTCACCAGCTGAGGTGGCGTCAGAAAGACAAGATGAACTGAAAAGGCTGCAACCCAGAGAGAGTTTTTAAGCGTTTAGCAACATTACACTGGAAATGAGAACTTGGCAATGAAAAGGACTGTCTGGCTTTTTGTATCCAAGTCCCTTTCTATCACAAACAACCAGTTTAAATAATGTATCAGTCACTGTCTGGCAGTTTACTAACTTCTGCTTACTGGCATACAACTTAATTTATTAATTCCTACTGCATTGTAAAAAAAAAAAAGGAAACTGAAATGCAACAAAAAGCAAAATAAAATAAAACAAAACACAAAACAAAACAAAATGCACAACAAAGACCATCAAGACCAGGAGGAAGAGCAAACTGGCTCGGAGGCAGTGTCTCTCAGGGATGAAGAGTGTGTCTGCATAACGATGGTCCAGATGTATCAGCTAGCAAAGAAACCCGCCAGCCCAAGATGGGCACGTGAGGGCTACAACTGCCTTGCTCCATCAGGTTTAAAAAGTAGAGACCAAAAGAGGGTATGGAGGAAAGTTTCTGCAGTAAGGTCACTTTACAGGCACGTGAACCTCCTAACTGAAGGGCAGTACAGAAATAATGCCCAAACCTCAGAGAACCGAGAAGCTGAAACTGCAAACGAGAAAGTGAGATTCAGTTTTCAGGGACCAGCAAACAGCAAGGCTGCCTCCTCAGACAGCGAACACAGAACACAGGGGTTCCAAAAGGAGCGGGATGGACGGCAGCCGCTGTGTGTGGTGGGGACAGGGCAGACAAAACGACTGCTGCAAGGCTGCAATGCACGATGTGTGCTGACAGTCTTTCCCTTCACAGAGGGTCTAATTAACTTCTGACCAGTTCTTCTCCAGTGTGTTTGGCTTTGGATCTGCTGCTTCTTTGGTCACATCAAGATGCCTCTGTTGCTCTCCACAGACTAATGGAAACCTAGATACGAAAACTTAGATGATTTTTAGATGACCAAATTTAGATGTGATGAAATAGGGAAGGGTAAAGAGAAGGGAGAAGGAAAAAAAAAGGTGGAGAAAAAAAAAGGTGGAGGAAAAAAGTAGAAAGAAAGAAAAGCAAGAAGGACGAAACTAAAGGAAAAAGGAGAAAAATGTAAAGATAAGTATGTTATTACCTGAGACGTTATTTATGTGAGCAGTTACAATGTGGATACTGACTACTGCTAAGATCAAACTCCAAAGCAATAGTGGTGTGATAAGAAATGAGAAGCAAGAATGCTCAAATCTTCCCATGTTTTTTTCTGAATGCAAGGCAACATCGCCCATTTTCCAAATCATGGAAGATTTAGATGTCCCCAGTAAGGCTGATAGAAAATGTGTCTTGTATTTCCACTGGCAAAAACAAATCTCAAACCAAGACAGCACCTTTTCATTCTGCTACACCATTGGGAATAAGAGAATTCACCTCCATGACTTACAAATAAAATCTGTGGGTGATATTTTCAACCATAACGGAGAAGGTTAGGCTCAAATGGTCAGATTCTTGTGGTAGGAAAGTCAAGCTTCCACTGACTTGGACACTAATTCAAGGCTAAGATTTTCCATCTCCAGGATGGTCTCATGTTGAATGATGCTCTCAATGCATCAAAAACTTGGTCTTGGCCAACTATTTTGCCCCTGAACATTAGTTTTCTTGTTTTCAGTTCACTCTACAAACAAATTTATTTGCCTTGGCCAAAGCAAAAAAAATCGTAATTGTCACTGGTGAGTCTAGATTTCTGACCAAAAAGCAGTTTGGAGCTGGAATAGACCCAGTTTACCCCACTGTCTCACAAGTCCCTCTTAGATTCATTTGGTTTGTAGGGAGCTTTTAGAAACTATACCCTTTACCCTGCTCTTGTGCATGAATCCCACAGATTTTGGCTTACTGCACGCAGGCAACTCAGTCACATTGGAAGTGTATGTGTCAAACCTCTTTGGGTAATCCTCTAGCTCAGTAGGGGCATAATTTCTACGCTTCAGCACAATAAACAGTAAGTTTACTCTGAAGAACAAGAGATTTTTCATGGTGCGATGAAAGGACTTGCTTTGGCGAGAACATAGGTGGAAAATCAGTGCTCTGTTCACTGCACACGTACAAGGTGGGCACTTGTACCCACTTCCAGCTACCAGAGAGAGGATGTGGTCACACCAGCAACACAACACCATGTCAAGCCAAACCTCCAGGCATTTCCTAGGTTGATTACTGGGCAAAGTGTCCTGTCTGCAGATGGTCCTACACAGGTCTATTCACACTAAACTTATTCAAAAGGTACAGTGGTAGTTTTTAGTAAGGCTCTGAAATAACAGAGTAAGACGTCGCCAACCAAGTTCCCAAGAAAATGGCTGTTATTTTAATTCTCTTACAATGTTCTTTACACCTGATTTTACCCGTTACTGGCTAGAGACTTATTTTACAGGTAATTACCTTAAACATTTACTAGAAAAACCTACTTCAGACTTTTTTATTAATTGTCAAAAAGTTGTTTGATTTCTCTGAGCAGGGCCGTGTCACAGCTATCTTTAGGCAGCTCTAAATACTCCAGATACACGACATGTTTTTCTGTAAATGACAGTAACAACCACACTGGCCTAGGTTAGAGGAGTTCTAGCCCAACCCAAATAACACCCAGCATTTTTCCAAGATCAGCCCCGAAACAGCAAAGCTAATTCACAGAAACACAGAATGATTTGGGTTGGAAGGGACCTTAAAGATCATCTAGTTCCAACCCTCCTGCCATGGGCAGGGACACCTTCCACTAGACCAGGTTGCTCAAAGCCTCATCCAGCCTGGCCTTGAACACTTCCAGGGATGGGGCATCCACAGCTTCTCTGGGCAACCTGTTCCAGTGCCTCACCACCCTCTCAGGGAAGAATTTCTTCCTGATATCAAATCAGTCCAATTCAACCCATCCCACTGTTCCCTGCCTAAATCAAGTTGCAGAGAGACAGAGAAAGGTGTGACTCTGGCACACTGAACAAGCCCAGCAACGCCTGCAGCATGAACGCCCATCCGGAGATGACCCACTGTCATGTTTGGGCACTTCATCCTCCATCAGATTTCTCAAGATTTTCCTATTCTGAATCTACAAGGAGCCCCTCAGCAGCGCACTCCCACCCTCCTAACTTGCCCAGCGAGATGGGAAAAGAAGCGAGCAGGATGCCCAGCTCCAGTGTGCGCTCTGGGTGAGTCAGTAAGTACACGTAGCCGAATCCCAGACAGGTTGCCGCGTGCTAAATCAGACCAACAGCACAAGGAGGCCCGCTGAAATCTGGTGCTTGCATGGTAAGGTCACTATTCAAAACAAAAGGCCATTACTTGCCCTCCAGTGAATAAGAAGTTTGGATTCTTTGCCCAGTGGTGGCAAGGGAAATATTTAAATGGGATTCATAACACTTCTGAAAAAGAAGAACTTCTTTCTTAGGGAGTGGAACCACAGTAGGAGCCAAAGGGAGCCAAATTACACTGCCCTCTTGGGCTGAGCACCTTACCACAGAAAGTCTCTCTGAATTTGGACGTCAGCTTTTCGATCACACCGTAGGTCTCCACATAGAAGACGTGTTCATCCAGTGGTTCACTGGCCATTATCCTGAGGGACTGCATGTCTGCCCGGCCTACCCCGACTGCATAGATCTCAATGCCAGCTGTCCGGGCGCTTGCTGCCACGTCTTGAACCTGGTCTTGTGGCCGTCCATCTGTCACAACGATGACCACCTTGGGGATATTGAAGGTCGCTGGCCGGGTGCCCATTTCCTCAGTGAAGACTTCATCCATGGCAGTTTGGATGGCAAGGCCGGTCATTGTACCGGCAGACAAGGGCGCAATGTGAGATACAGCCTCCTTCATAGATGCCTTATCAAAGTAGGTCCGGAGGGGAAACTCCACCTTGACGGTGCTAGCGTAATTCATGACCGCCACACGGGTTGTTCGTTCACCAACATCCAGAGTATCAATCATTCCTGACAAGAAGATTTTCACTTTCTCAAACTCCTCAGGTCGGACGCTACGGGAACTGTCTATGATGAAGACGAGGTCTAGGGGCCGGTTCTTGCAGGCAGTGTCTGTCGAGAAGGAAGGAAAACACTTGAGTCATCTCTTGCACAGGACAGGAGCTCTCACCCTAGAGCCGTGAGAGCTGTCATGGCAACTACTCCTGCCAAACAAACACTGGCCCCCTTGGTTCTTTAGGAAGAGGTTTAAAGTTATAGTAAGCAACACATTAGAAATTCGTAAATATTAATTCTGACAAGTAATAAATAATTGAACTTTTCTAAGCATAAACAGATAGGTCCACATTTCAGCCCACAAATGTCCAACTATCATTGAAATAAAGGGTTGTAGTCCCCATGTGACTGTCACCACAGAAGTGCAGCAACGATACACAAATGTACTTACTTTTTGTTTTTATAAAGCCTGAATTCCCTTTTTGTAAGCTACAGAAATAAAATGGTAAAGCAACTCACTCGATTACATAGTGAACAGATCCTAACAGTACTTTTTAGGATAGTAATAACATAGACTGATGATTAGGAATTATTTCTTGTTTGTAATTCCCAATCCCAAGTACACAACAGGAAGAAATAAAGGCCAAGAGGAAAAAGATGCAAATGACGCTGTGATAAAGGCTTCTTTAGAAGGTGTTACTGCTTTAAGGCTGCTAGAGCAGAGAAATAAATGAAATCACTTATGAAGTAATTTTACACGTAAAAATGAACATTTGCACACATATTTCTAGCTTCCAAAATTCTTCACTGACGTGAAATCTAGACCGAAACGGAAAAGCCATAGCTCAGATCAGAGACAAGCATCCCTCCTAGGAAGACAACAAATAATCCAGAGGATGACAGCAGCCAACCTGAGCTGATACTCCCCGTCCCAACATTGACGATAGCAAGTACGTACTTTACACCACCAAGGTATGGATTTGTGCAGCTGTCCCGTGAAAAACAGAGAACCCAAAAGTAGAGTACTTCCATGGAAGAGACGTTCTGGCTCACCAGTACGTTATACAGCAAAATATGAGGTGTTCAGTTTGAATGTGCTCCCTGAGAGCTGTTTTGGGAACCCTGACACACCTCTCACCTCTCCTGGCTACTATCAAGTTTCCATTCCGATTTAAATTTAAAAAAATTTTAAAAAATCTTCACAAGTCTCTTAAAAGCAGAGATTAATACAGCATTCTTCTTTGTTTTCAATGAATTCAAACTTTTACCTTGTGCTAGTCAACAGGGAGGGGAAAAAATCAAATTGCACAGATCGATCTTAGCAGCAGAGCTAGTTTGCAGTGGTCAGAATAACGGACCGGATGAATCTAGGATCCATCCAGGTATGCTGTATATACCTCTACTCGCAGCCCACAACTCATATATTTGCATAAGGATTTAGAAGAACGGCTCTGTGCCCTTTGGGAAGCTGAGAAAAGAAGAAATGTGTGAGCACGCACGTGCAGCTGAAGACAGGAGAGAAAGAACCACACGCTGCCTTACCGAAAAAAACCCCAAAAAAGACCAAAGCCGAGATTTTTAGGCCAAATTCTCTCTTTTAGATTAAGGAACAAAATATATTTCAGCAGCCTGACCCTTCCGTGAGTTTGCAACAGGGATATTCAGAGAAATGAACGCAGGCAGAGAACATTTCCGTCGGTTTTAGGGATTAGCCAGGCCAGCTTCGCAGTGAAGAGCGAGCGAGCAGTCGGTGCTCGTGCCGACAAACGACCCCGCGGCGGCAGCGAGGTGCTCCTGCGGCATCGCCCCCGCAACCCTCCGCGAAGCTGGGCGGAAGGGAAGCCCCCCAGGAAGCCGAG